TATAATATTTTATTATTAGATTTTCATAGGCCCATTGGAGCAATACCTCTATTGTATTCTCTTTTATTCTTATTTTTAAAGAATTGGCCACGATCATACTCGATAATAATTAAATCAATTATTGCAATGGGGGATTGGCTTTACAAGAGAAGTAAAATCATCATAACAACTATACATGATCGGTTGCTAAATTTTCATTATCATCTCTACTAATGAGTAAGATGTAGTGATAATATTATAAGCATTCAAGCTATTTTCTAGTTTACTTTCAATTATTATTTTTCTAATCTGTATCTTTTAAATTAATTAGTACTTGGTATGCATGAACTATGAAAGCATGTGATAATTTAAAAGTTAAATATTATTTTTGTTTGTGTGATAGCTTATATATTTGATATTCAATTTACTTTGAAATTTATATGTAGATGGATAGAAAATTGATTCACCTCATAAGCATGTGCTTCAATTGCAATCATCACATGTTATATAGTTGATAAATATGAAAATAGAACTACCATAACAAGATAATCTCGAATTGATGAAAGTTATATGAGAGAGTTCTATATAAGTAATATACTTAACCGAGGTTATCGGTATTGTACTGCACAAATTGGTATGTCACAAAAATCATTTAACAAATTGTGTGTGGTTTTAAACACAATCAACTTTTTACATTCAACTAAAAATATGATCATTAGAAAACAAGTGGTGATGTTCTTGTAAATAATTGGACACAATGCAAGATTTCAATTTATGAGTAGAATATTTTAAGAGAGGGAGAGAGAGGTTTATCTGTCCTATTAGTATTTTAAAATTTTTGAATTTAATGTATTTTTTATTATTTTTTTAATAATATACTTTTAATTTATATCTTAATTTTTTTTATAAAATTAAGATTCAAATTAAAAATAGAGGTACAAGATTATTAAAAAAGAATTAATAAAAAATATGATTAAAATAAATAAAATAGTAAAAAGACATCTTGCATCTTTAACCTTTTCTAAAAAAAATCACTTTTAGGTATCTTAACATCAATTTACATAAATATAAAAATTCATTTCATAAAAGAAATATTAATTCATTGGTGGATTTTTTTAGCTTGTTCATTGACGAGGGTGTTAAAACTCAAAATTCATAATATATACCCAATTGCAAGAGCGGAGCTCCTCGATCGAGAGAGAGAGATCGATCTGTATCTGCCAATATTTTAAGATATTTGAATTTAATTTTTTTTAAAAAAAAAGGAAATAGCTTATGTAGCTTTAAAATTATCAATGCCCACGTGAGGACTACATTATTAAATTGGTTTTTTGATGTCAGGAATCTCTGCTGCCCAATGATGCTACAAGCGCATGCTCTCCACATGTCAAAAAAAAAAAAATCAAATCAACATTGGATTATTCTTTCACGCCTCAAGTTTTCGATGCGACTGCACATGATTCCTCGATTTTCAAAAACCTACTGTTATCTTTTTTATTTTGATTCATAATTTATTCCTTTTGAATATACACCGTTGGTGTGATCCTTAGCTGTCATCCAACTAGTCAATTTTAGTTCCAATAATACCCTTTATCTTTATGGCGCTTTAAATGGTCGGTACACCGTTGGTGTGATCACTAAAACCACTCTTGGAAAACGTTTAGCTTCGATGGAGATGATTGTACGGTGACAACTGACAAGTGATAAGTGATTAAAGATGTTTGTCCTTTGTTTATGCAGGAAGGGTTTGAGAAACATGGTTCTCTAGTGCCTTCACGAAACAATTCATAATTATCGTGGCTTTTAAAAATCGATTTGCTTTAAAAGCCCTAATAAAATTAAGTAAAACTAATTAGTTTTATTGGGTAGTAAAACACAACAAACTGTGATCCAAGATGTTTACATTTTCGGTGATGTAACTTGAAGTGAGAGAACTACAAAAAAAAAGATAAAGGGACATAGAAAGTGATGAAGAAAAGAACAGCAAGGAAAAACAAAATTACAAATTGGGTCCTAAAAATAATTGCAAGTCATTCATTTTTAAAATATAACAATAAAAAAATGCACATGTTTTTATTTATATAATTAAATATTGAAATATTTTCTTTTTTATATTTTATCAATTAATGATTTAATTGAAATACTATGAGAGTGTCAATAAAATCTGTACTATAAATAAAATTACAATAATTTAATATATTTTGATGTTGGTTAAACCTAGTGTTTGATACATTTCTATTGTTTTTTTCCTTGATTTACACTTAACAAGACTATACAATATAATTAAAGAATTCGTACCTCAGTGATAGTGATTTCTTGAAATAAAAAATCACGAGTTTAAATTCTAACAGAATAGTTCTGTTATTTTCTTTTTTATATTTGATCAATTGATGACTTAATTGAAATACTATGAGAGTGTAAATAAAATCCAATCCAATTCATGTATTAAAAATAAAATTTCAATAATTTAATGTACTTAGACATTGGTTAACCCGTTATTTGATGCATGTCTATTGTTTTGTTCCTCGATTTACACTCAACAAAAACTATACAATATAATCCAAGAACTTGTAGCCAATGATAGTGATTTCTTGCAAAAAGATATTACGGAGTTTAAATCCTAACAAACTAATTCTATTACAAGTTTTGGATGTATAAGTTATATATATATAAAAAAAAACTATATAATATACATTATATAAAAGCCTAAAAAAATAGTGTTTACTATTCACTTACTATTAACCTAAATTTATTTTATTATTCATTTACCATTTACCTAAACTCATAAACACTATTCATAGTATAATTGTATTAATTAGTATTATAGCAATTTTTAGATTTTATTCAGGCATTTATATAGGTTTTTTTCTTTGTTATTTTTTACCTTCGTTTAGGTATTTTATATGTAAGTTTTGATAAATATTGTGCTTTTTTTTTATAGAAAAAAATATTTTTTTTAATTTTTAACTTTCTTTATATGGTGAATTGGTTCATAAAATACAAAGAGAAATAGAGAACGAGAAACACACGCGAGGTCTATTTTGACCATTTTAATCATTGATATTAACTTTAAGTTCTTTTCATATTGAAAAGAAAAGCTTACTTAAAGTGGTTATAAGATTAAAAAAAAAAAAACGAAAAAGGAGATTGAAAAATTCCAAAACATTTTTAAGTTTTTAAATTTAATTTGAATTTTTGAGTTTTTTTAAGTTCAATGAAATGAGTTTAAAGGTTTCAAACATGTTTTTTTGAGCAAATTTTAGTGATTTTGAAGAGTTTTGAGAAAAAAAAATGATGGTAAAATTGAAAGGCCATGATATAATACCCTAATTTTTTAGTGATGCAATCAATCAACACGCAGTCCCTTGCCCAGTGCATGAGCAACTTGTCGTTCACCGTTTTTGCGGTTTTTTTTTTTTTTCAATGGCTACCTACTCTTGGGTCTGGTTCTCCGAGCACTAGAGTGCAGGCCTAGCACTCGTAGGCCTAACTTTATATTTTTTTTTTGGATTTTTCCTTATCATTTGATATTGTGCTTTAATTTATAAAAACCCAAAAAATTAATTTTTGAGTTTACCACACCTAACAAGGAAGAAATATCAATAATGTGTTTCTATGTTTTACACTTAAAATTTATTTTTTTTAATTTATTATTTTTTTATAAAAATCTTTTTTCAATTAATTTTTTCAATATCTGAATTTTTTTAATAATTTTTTATGAACATGATTATTTTTTTATTAAAAAATATAATTTATGTGATGAATTTTTATAATTTTTTAAAAAATTATCATAATTATAAATATATATGTTTAATTTAAAGGTTGAAACTATGTTGCAAGATTTTTTCTCTCGAGTTTTTGAGGAAAAAAAATTTTTAAAAAAAATTAATTGATAATTAAAAATATAAATGAGAAAAATAAAAAATATTCATATGTTTTATTTATTTTATTTTTTTGCACTTCCTTCGTCATAAAAGAACATCCATCCTTCTATTTATATCTATTCTAAAATATTTTTTTAATCAAAATTTTAAATAATATATTTTCATAAAATACCTTCAACTAAAATCGATTTTGTAAAAACTAAATTACATAAAAACACCTTGAACCATTAGTCAAAACCTATAATCTTAAAAAAAAATTATTTAATGTGACTAACGTAAATTATTTTTTGGTAAAATATAAGCTTTTCTTATCTTGACTAGATGTGGTGGTGTAGAATTCCGACAAGTGTCCTAGACATGTGATTTAAAAAAAAGAAAAATAAATCTGTAAAACAAGAAAAGAAATAAAAAGGATTTGGAAAAAAATAAAATAAAAAATAACACCCAATTAGTAATGAAATTCAAATTCAGGTGCCTAATACGCTTTATTCTCTTATAGCATATGGATTTTGGAAAATTATCCAAAAACTCAGTTAAAATTCATTTAATTTCCAAAATCTGAATTTATCAAATGTTGTTCATTAAAAAAAAAAAGATTTACACCATTTTAGGTGAAGTCTTGTCCAAAGTTTATGTATTTTTTCAAATCCAATAGCAACAGAAACCAGAGAAAGTCTAAGCAATCAAAATTCCAAAAAAAAAAAAAAAAAAAACAGTTGGAACAAATCACCAATTCTGAATAATGATTGTGAGAAAACTGGTTTAGCAGATACAAAAACGTTCCTTGATAACATCATAGTTGTAGCAGCACAAACATTTCCTCTCAATTCTCCACTAGCTTCCACTACAAGTAGCATATCTTTTTCTTCTTCATCATCATTTACAGCTCAATTTCTCATCAGTTATCGTGGGTTTCTTCAAAATGCACATTTTTTTTCCCTAAAAAGTTCAGATCAATCTTTAGCACTACCACCACTGCAGCACCCTCCTCCTGCTTCCCTCCATCTTTTTTTTTTTTCATGAGAATGGATTTTAATTTTCATTTCGAAATAATCAAGTTACAAGAACAAAGCTATGGTAATCACGAATTTTTGGTTTAATACTGTTAAGTTAATGATAAAATGCTAATATGAATGGCTACAATTGAGCCTCAGAAGAAGAAGAAGGATCAGTAATATCAGGGAACTTTTTTGGCAAACTAAACACAAAATTATCACCAGCTGATCTTTGAAATGCCCTTTCATAAGCATACCTGAGAGTCCTAGCCACAGGAACTCAAACATCTCAATTATCCTACAAACCTCAACGGCATTTCATCCTTCTCCTCAACCATTTGAATGAAAAAAGGCAGAAAAGGAAGAGCAGTCGACCGCTTTTCTTTCTCCTTCAAACCACTCTATTTCGGCATGGTCGACTGCTCTTCCTTCTCTACTTTTTCTCCTTCAAACCACTCTATTTCGGCATGGTCGATTGTTCTTCCTTCACCTTTTTCTCTTTCAAACCACTCTGTTTTGGCATGGTCGACCACTCTTCCTCCTCTACTTTTTTCTCCTTCAAACACTTAATGTGTTGTCTGTGTTGCTCGGTTGTTGCTGTCCCTGCCGTCGTCTTTTGCTTATGGTAGGAGAAGACGACTCCTCTACTTTGGACGATGTGTTGTACAGTCATTCTGTAGCATTGTCGCGGTGAGGAAGGAGATGAAACGACAACATAGAAAGAGAGCGAGTGTGTTTGTTTTGGAGAGTGAAAAGCTGAAAGATAAGAGTTGTACATTGGCATAAGAAGGTTTAGTCTCCCAACATACCGACTATAGTGAGTGATTTTATATGAAAATGGATATAGCCGATCGTGAGGAGCCTGGACCTGGATCAGTCCAATAAGAGTTAAAAAAAAGCCGGTGTTATAAAATTTTATTAACAAATAAAATTAAATCAAAAAATTAATTTGATTAGAATTTTAATAAGAAACAAATAATTGAATAAATAAATTTTAAATAATAAAAATAAAAATATAAAATAAACTAAAAAAAAAAGTAATATTGAAAATTTTTAAAAAGGAAAAAAAGCTTAGATTGAGTAGTATAGTGTAATAATAAAATAAATCGTCGGCCTTTGGAAAAAAATAACTATCGATTTTTAAAAATTTTAACCTTCAATCAAATAAAAAAAGAACATAAATCAATGAGAAAAAAAACTAAAAAAAAAACGTATAGTGCTTCGGTAAGGGATTAAAAGTTTTTAAAAAAATTTTAGGGACCATAATGAAATAATTCAAAAAACAATTTTTTTAAAAAAACTTAAGGAAAAAAAATGAGGGTGAAAATTAAAAAGAAAAAAACAAATAATTTAATTTTTAAAAAAAAACTAAAAAAAATAAGAAAATAAGTAAGAGTGAAAATTAAAAAAAGAAGGGGAAAAAACTCAAGAAAAAAAAAACTATTCAAATGAATAGTACCCACATGATAGTTCACTTGTTCATACTAATTATAATAATATATTTAAAAAAATACCGACGTTTTAAAATTTTATTAACAAATAAAATTATATGAAAAATTAATTTGAGTAGAATTTTAATAAAAAATAAATAATTGAAAAAATAAATTTTAAACAATAAGAGTAAAAATTTAAAAAAAATCTAAGAAAATAAGAAAAAAGTAATAGTGATTTAAAAAAAAAGAAAAGAAAAAAAATTAAGATTGAGTAGTATAGTGCGAGAGTAAAGTAAATCATCGGCATGTTTTAAAAAAAATAACGATCGATTTTTAAAAATTTTAACACTCAAAATAATTGAAGAAATAAATTTTAAACAATAAGAGTAAAAGTTAAAAAACAAAACTAAGAAAACAAGAAAAAAATCAATAGTGAAATTAAAAAAAAAAAAAAACTAAGATTAAGTAGTATAGTGTGAGGGTAAAATAAATCATCGATACTGTTTGAAAAAAATAACGATTGATTTTTAAAAATTTTAACACTCGATCAATTTTAAAAAGAGCATAAATTGATGAGGTAAAAAAAATAAAAGAAAAAAAGACATATAGTGCATTAGTTAGGGATTAAAATTTTTATCTTAAATTTTTAAGGATCAGAATGAAAGAATTTGAAAATTTGAAAAAAAAAAAAACCTAAGAATAAAGAAACTAAGGGTGAAAATTAAAAAGAAAAAAAATAAAATAATTTAATAATTTTTTTAAAAAACTAGGAAAATAAGTAAGAGTGGAAATTAAAAAAGGAAGGGGGAAAAAAACTCAAGCAAAAAAAAATAATAATAATAAAATAAACTTTTCAAATGAACAAGTAAAAGGGGAGGGGTAAAATGGGGAGTTCACTTGTTCATTCATTGTTCAAATGAACAAGTAAACTCCTCACTTGTTTTAGATATATACTAGCATATATGTCGCGCCTTGCCGCAAGGTGAGTTATATGACATTCTTATACATTTATTCATATAAAATTTAACATTTACAAATCATTATTTAACAATATCATGCGAAAAAATTCAAAAAAAAAATTAAAACATATATTTCATAATTTGCTACAAGGTTAACTAAATGAAAAGTCCGCAAAATTGAGTAATATAATGTTGCTAATTGGATATTGTTTAATATAAACATGTATTTTATTTAAAATATGTATAATAACTTATAATTAAAATAATAACGTGATAGCTTTTTGAATTTTCGATGATTAATTTTTACCTTATATTATTTATCCGTAATTTGTTAATGAGACGAGAGATACCATCTAAAACAAAAAGATAAAAAAGCTTTGTCAAATCGAGAATTTGGCAAAGAAAATAGAGATAAAATTACATATGATAAAAATTAAATGATTAAAACAAAATAAAGATCATAAAAAGGATAAAAATAAATTAAAAACAAACTATCACTAAAAGCGAGACAAAACAAAACTTATAAACAATAAGACTAAAAAAAATTCATTATGCATAAAGCGAGAGCAAAAGTAAACATTATAGAATTTTAATGACCAAAATAAAAAAAATTAATAAAATAAGAATCAAAATAGAAAATTTTTTAACTAAAAAAAAAAAACTTAGAATAATTAAAATGTATTTAATTTTAATGTAGAATGAATAATAATCAAATATAATAAAAATTTAATGATCAAAATAAAAAAAATTACAAAACAAAGACTAAAAAAAAAATCTACTAAATTTAATGACGAAAACAAAGAAAAAATTTCACTAAAAGAAAAAATCACAAAACAAAAATTAGAATAAAAAGAAAATTTCACTAAAAGAAAAACAAACAACCTTAGGATAGTAAACTTGATTTAGTTTTAGTATAGTAAGGATAAAAATCAAATATGAGAAAACTTTAATGACTAAAATATAAATATATTAAAAAAATATAAACAAAAAAAGAACATAAATTTTTACTAAAAGCTAAAAAAAAATATTATTATAAGAATAAAATCACATATAATAATAATATTTATGATAGAGATAAAAATCAAATAAAAAAAATTTTAATGACCAAAATAAAAAGCAATTTCCTAAGCGACAGAATCGAAACGACAAAAAAAAAGGCATGCACATAAGAGTCGGTTAAGCGACTCGGGCTCGAGTGTCGAGCCCGGGCTACTGCTCAAGAACCAAAAAAAAAAAAAGAGTTGTAACTTTCAACGAATCGAGGTCGCCGGAATCTTCATCGAAAAATCGAGGGTTAAGTTTGAGACCCTTAGAAATTGAATTCCAGCATCATTTTTTCTCCAAACACTTCTAAATAACTAGAATAAAGCCAATAAACATATTTAAAACCTTAAAAATTATTTTAATGCATACAAAAAAAAAAATTACACAATCAAATCGGAACATTGTTTTCTTTTTTGGCTCGATCTACCTCCTCTAATTGTTTAATTGCTTGAAACAATCATGAACAAACTCATATCTCAAAGATAAAAAAAAATTAGTGGATTTTCACCGGCCAAAGGTGGCCTAAATAAGCTTGGCCGACGATCTCTCTCTCTCCTCTCATCTCTCCCTTCCCCTCTTCCTTCTCTCTCCATTTAGGGATCAAAATAGATGAACAAATGAAGATGTAGATCGAAATATTTGTTGGCAAATATCAAGGACCAAAGTATAAAAAAACTCATAAATAGTGAAATGTTAGTGTATGAACAAGTATTTGAAACAAGTATACCATCGTTTTGATTTAGTTTATTTAGTTAATATAAAGAATTTTATATGAAAATGGATATAGTCGATCGTGAGGAGCATGGACTCGGACCGAGTCCTTGCACCTTCAATAATAAACTTTTGTGTCAACCCACCATTATCATTTTACTATTGACTAAGATTATGTGATGCATTAAATCAACTTCTAGAATTTGTTTGCAAATCAAGCTATATCAACGAGAACAATAAAATCACGACAAGCACAAAAAGTTTAAAGTTCATCTTTTAATAGTGTTTTTTTTTAGGTAAGTTGTAATCTTTATAATCATTGAAGAAGAAATAGGAATGATAATTACAAATTATCAAGCGAGGGAAAAGCTGTGGTTAAACAAGAGGAGCTCGATAGTAAAATGAGAAGAATAATGAAAATGGCATGTGAAGTCAAGACTCTTTAGGGATTAAAAGTGCAACCGTGATTTAGATGAAAAGTAACTTATCTTATATTGAATATCGAGGAATGAGGTACAATCATATTGAAAATAAAAAATAAAAGAATAATTTACTCCAAATATTTTTATAGTATGACAATACCAAATGCAAACTTGTAGATAGAATTTAAAAAGAATTACTTGTTTGTACATTAAAAGAAAAAAAGAGTAAATTATGAAATAATTTCTTTAGTTTCGGAAACGAATTACTTAATCTATCTTATTTCAAATACTAATTATGTAATTCTTGTATTTTAATTTTTTTAATTTTTGTTTTATGAAATGTGGTTACCCAATATTTAAGGAGCTTCCAAAATATTCTATTAAAAAATATTTATTTATTTTATATACTCGTGAATGTAAGTTAAAACAATTTTTTGGAGTCTCTATGTAGTATTAAAGAAACTAAAAAAAAACCTAAAAAAAATGTCTGGTTCAAAGATTCTTTGGTAAGAAGTTGGTCATATTTTTGAAAAGATATCAATCGCTCAAAAGCATCCTTTCCGAGGAAAGATACCATGTCTCGCTCAAATCCTAAAAGTTTTTCTCCTAAAAATTTTAATTTTGCTAAGTTAATTCTCAAGTCAAAATTCCAAGTTTATTATCTAAACCACTTTTTTTTTTGTGGCATCATATTGAATCGATCGTTGAACCCCGTCGTTATAAGTCTTATTAATGCCATATCGGATCCGAGCTTAAGTCTTGATATAATCAATATATCGAAGAATAATTTAATTAGTAAGGTGACGAGGTTTGAAATTCGCGACAATAACGAGTCTCTATCAAATTGGAGACTTTTTAAAATTGTCTTGGAAATTTTTGATGTATTTTTTTTATTTTTTTTATATTTTTCAAAGTTGGTGAAGAATCATCATCAATCCCTAAAAATTAAGAGACTTGACAATTCGTCCACCTATTAACTACCTAATTTAACAATTGATTATTCAAACAATAATTAATATTAAAGTAAAATCTAAAATTACATTGATAACCCCTACATGTTTGAAGGAGTCTAAAATCTAAACATAAATTTCACATTTAATTAAT